TGCTCTGAGACCCCTAGCTGCCCAGCGAGAACCTGCTCATCAGCCCACCTACAGGGGCTGTGTCCCGCCCCACCCCACCCATGGCCCCACCCACTCTCCACCCAGGCCCCACCCACCCCACCCTTGGCTCCACCCACGGCCCCCGGCCTGGAAATAAACAACGACCACCCAAAGAGAACAAGCCAAAGCTACTTATTGGGAGCTTCTGACAGCAAGGGGGGCTCAGCCACCGTCCCCGTCCCCGCGGGGCAGAGACGCACGCAGGCAGGGGAGTGGGAAACTCTACGACGGGAAAGGGAAGTTTCAGGCGGGCGGGGGCGCGGGAGGCGGGTGACCAGACGCGGGGCACGCAGGGCTTTCTTCGCTGGGTGATGCCAGGGCAGAATGGGGACAAAATTAGGGAAGCTGGAGGTTGCTGACCCGGCCGGACCGTTGGGCTGATTGCGGCAGAGGCTGTGGTCTGTCTCCCTGGCGGAGCTGCAGGGTGTGGGCAGGGTGCCCTGGTCACACTGTCCACAGGAGCATGTGCCTCTCACCGGTACCCTCCCCAGATGCCAAGCACTCCGACCCTTGTCTCAGGTCTGCTGGGTGGGGGAGCTGAGCTCAGCGCGAGACCTTCCCTGAGGAGGAGGGTGAAGGTAAGCGCCTGTGAGCCAGCTGCGCTGAGGCCCCTGGAGGCCCCCCCCAGCTCTCCGCATGCCTCCTTTCGGGTCGCAGGGACACCCGTCTGTCTCAGGTCCAGCAGCGGGCCTTCCTCTCCCCAACGCCCCCGGGGCCCACACAACAATGGCCCCAGAGAGGCCCACACCCAAAGCCTCAAACCTGTGACTGGTTCTTTTCAGGGGAAGGGAGGGGCTCTGCAGATGTGAAGAAGGACTGTGAGATTGGGCAGGGGGACCCTAGATGTAATCACATGAACCTTCAGAGCAGAGAACGGGACTTTGGTGAGAAAGGGGTGAAGACGGGTCAGGGAGGTGCCTCCCTGGCAGTCGACAGCCCGTGTCCCCGTCCTGGGGCTGCTCTGCACTCTGGCACTCCAGCACCCTGCCCTGCGTCTCCCCTCCTTACCCTCCGGTCCCGGCCCCTCCAGGAGTTCCCCAGTCCCAGCTCCAGACCCTTGGGGGAGGGGTGTCCCCGACACCCCTTGGATATAAAACCCAGTTGAAGGGAGTTTAGCCCATGGTGGGACCTCAGGGCACGTGGGCAACACAGGTGGACAGAGAGTCCAAATCTGCATGCGGCCCTTGGCTCTCCCAATGCCAGGTCACAGGTCACACTGCTGCCACTGTTCTGCAGCAGGAGGCTTCAATGGCTGCTGGGCGAGGGCCTGGATGATGGCTGCAGAGCCAAGTTCCCTGTCAGCACCACCACTTGCTCCTCCAGCAAACCTTCCTAGGGTCGAGTGGGCCCAAGGACGACCCAGAGATTGAGGCTGAACCACCAGGGCCCCGAGCTGAGAGCCCCCATTCCTCAAAGAAGAACGAGTAAAGAGGGGCAACGCTGCCCTTCTGCCCACCTCACCAGGCCAGGGGCTGCCAGGTTAGCACATCAAAATTCAGGGAATTTAAATGTTGGAGAATGAATGATTTTAATATAAGTATTTCCCATGCAAAATTTAGGATATACTTATTAAAAATGTATTTGTTTTCTCTGAAATTCAGATTTACTGAGTGCCCTGTATTTTAACTGGCAACCTTAGGTAACGAGGTATCAGAGGCCAGACCAGGCCTTTATGGGAACTGGAAAGTTCAGCAGCGTTCTCCTATAGCAAGAAGGCCACAGCAGCTCTGGGGGGCTACATGTACAGTGGGATGGACAAACAGGAGACACCTGTCCTCCTCCAACCACAGAGCACGTCTTTCAAGTCACCTGCCCACCTCATAACAAACTGAGCGGACGTGGGCCGATCACAACGCACTCCAGCAGCTGCTGTCAGTTGCTGCTGAACTGCTGGGCTGCAGGGCCCCTGTGCATACTGCCCGGCCCCTGCCCCGGCCCTGTCCAGCACCGCGGCTGCAGGGTGAAGTCAGGGAGACGGGTCCCCTCCAGAGAGGTTCAGACCTCAAATCCCTCTGGACCCACATGAGGCAGGTAACTTCCAAAGACGCTCACGACAACACGTCCCCCACACGCCCTGCTTACGGGGACACGAGCGTGCTGGGGGGGGGGTCTGCTCTCTCCCCTCCCCCTCCTTTGAATCTAGGAAGGTCGGCTGTTATGGCAGAAGCACCAAGTGACTCTGAAAGCTGACTCGTACACGGGGGTGGCTGCCTGGATTCTGGGGACACTCACTCTTAGAACCCGGCCACTACACCGACGGCCCCAGGGAGTCTGCCAACAACCAGGTGATCCCAGGCCCCAGCCTGAGGGTCCTCCCAGGGACATCCCAGACCTCGAGGACAGCGGTGTCCACACAAGCCCCAAGATCCACTGGGACGCGCCCCCCCGCCCACACCTCAGGCTGAGAACTGCGTTTCCCTAGAGGGGCCAAGGGCGGCTCGAGTAGGGGTCCCAGAGCTGAGGTGAAGTCCCCAGTCATGGCCCTGCTCATTTCTTGGGTCACAGCGCCACCGTGTGGACAAGGTTCTGCAGGTCGCCCGCTGCTCTTCACAGAGACAGGTCCAGACGACAAAGTGTAGCCCACCACCCCGATGACCATGCGGCCTTGAGAAAATGAAGAACGAGCAGGACACAGAGGTGTCACAAGCCCGTCAGAGAGTCCTCCCCGGGGACAAGCGGCTTTGTGTTCATTCCGTACAGCATTTAGGTGCGTGAAAGTCACACCCCCCAGACCCTTCCCTCAGGCGCCTCTCCCCGCCCTGCAAGGCTCTGTGACACTTTTGCCAACAGTCACACCCGGTGCCATGCCGGCACGCTTGCCACCATCAGAGACCCTGTGGCAGAGCTGGCGCCTCCGGGCTGGCCGTGAGGGTAGGGCCAGCACAGGCAGCCCCAGGTTCAGGCCCTGCGCCAAGGCGGGGACATGGGTGCAGGACAGGGGCCGGGGCCACTGCCCACCTGGCTCTGCAGAACCTCCCACAGTTTCTCACCCCGTTGTGCCTCAGTTTCCTTGACTGTCAAATGACAGCACAGGACAGCTGAGAAAAGGGCCCGGGAGGGACAGAGGGTGCTGTCAACATGCCCTCGCACCACCACCACCTCTGTGGTCAGAGCTAACGAGCAGCCTCTGCTGGCAGAGCCCCGGGCTCCCAGCCCAGATGGAGAGACGGGGCAGGACGCTTGGGACTTGGCAGCATCAGGACAGCTTGGGTGCCCCATTCGCTCCTCGGCCACGTGGCCAGGTGGCTGGGGAAGGACAGCCGAGAGACCCGGACGGTCTGGCCAACCAGCAGTGGGCACACCCTGGAGGCCAGGAGGACGTCATGGGTTCCAGTGACCTTCCAGGCCGAGACAGTTAACCCTGGAGGCAAAAAGGCCTCCTGGGGGGCTTGTGAAACTGACTCCTGGGCCCCACTCAGAGTCGGATCCGAGGTCTGGGGGAGGGCCCAAGACTGCTTCTCCATCAGGCTCCCAGGGAGTGCTGACCCTCTGGCCTGGGGACCACCCTTCAAGCAGGAGGCGGGGGCAGGACGAGTGAGTCAGGAACAGACCAGCAAATGAATGAGCAGGACTCGGGACAGAGCCCACGACCCCCCAGCAGTCAGGCCGCGGATGGGGCAGAAACAGTGCACGTAACAGGCTCGCACACAGTAACGCACGCAGACACCGACGCGTGAACACGCAGACACAAGCCACACACACTTACACACAGACAGGCCCAGGCACACACGTTCTCCAGAGAACCGGCACCAGAACCAGCAGGTGCCGGGCGGGGAGCAGGGGCAGTGGTGTGAAGAGATTTAATTTACTACAAGGAGCTGAGGCTGGCAAGTCCAGACTCAGGCCAGCCAGGGGCGCAGCTCTGAGTCGAGTCTGAAGCTGGGGGAGACTGGCCCCCGGGCTGGAAGGCGGTCCTCCTCTTCTTCCTTCAGCGCTGTTGAGGCCGTCCACTGATCGGATGCGGCCCACCACACCAGGAGGGCCAAGTGCCTTAGTCCGTCTCCAGGCTCAGATACTGATCTACCCCAGAAACACTCTCATGGACCCACACAGAACCATGTTTGACCAAATGCCTGGGCACCCCCCCCACAAGCACACGTACAGCCCCAGGGACCAGTAACGTTGCTCTCACCCCAGCTCCTTCCCCACCCTGGGCCTTTGCTGGTCCGCAGAGGACAGGGCACAGACCCATACCTGCTCTGAGACCCACGCGGTGCTTCTGAAAGCGAGAACAACCCGCAGCACTGAGGACAGGCAGCAGTGACCGCCCACCCCCGAGGTACTGTGGGGTCACTGCCCTGAGCACAGGGCAGCCCGCCCCCCGGCCGTGCTCGGTGTGAGGCCCCCAGGTCCTCAGCACAAGCCCACCTGGGGAACTGAGGCTCGGAGCCCTCGCTAGGGTCACCCAAGAGCGTAGAGGCAGCGCTCCGGACCCCTCCTCACCACTGCGGGGCACGTGGACCACGCCGGGCAGGGCGCCGGGACCCTGAGCCAAAGGTGGGAGGTGGCCCATCACCCCTCAGCAAACCCTGCCCCCCTCCGGTTCCAGGCCCCGCGGTGGCCGGCCCCTGCATCCCAGTCCACACTCGGTTTTCCTGCCACTTTCAGGGAGAGTCGCCCAGTCACACCAGCAGGACAGTCCCCTGCAGGGGCCCTCAGGTCCCAGAACCTGGTCCTGGGGAGGAGGAACCCCAAGCGGCTGTGCTTCTGAAAACCCCTGCTCACTTATTTTGCTGCAAGGTCTCTCCCACGTGCCTCGAGGGCAGAAGTCGCGGAGGCTTTGCTCACAGCTCTCACCAACGCCTGCAGACAATCTCCCATCTGGAAACTTTCACAAAGGAAGCGGTTGAGTTTACAGCTGGCAGATGTGGAGGCGAAGCTTCTGGCCAAAAGGACGCAGCAAGAAACCGCCATCCCCGCCCCCAGCAGGCGGTTCGCGGGGCGGGGCTCCCCCACCACCTCGCTGCCGGCGCCCCTCCCCAGACGGCCCTGCGCACAGCCATGTGTCCAGCCTGGGTGCTGCTGACCGTCTGCAGCCTGGTCCTGGGCGCCACGGGGGGTCCTTCTCAAGGTAAGAGGAAGAGGGGGGTCTCCCTGCCACATGGGGTGCTGAGCTTATTCCGCGACCCCACCCGTGTTCCCAAGTCACATTCCAGGGGACCAGACAGTGGCTGCCTTTGTGGGGAGCACCATTCAGAGGTGGGGGTCTGGACCACCCGGGACCGGGGCAGCATCTGTCCCCACGCTCCTGAGGTCTGCAGGTGGTCCCCACGGCTCCCTGCGGGGACAGCGTGCAGGGTAGCGGTCGGGCGGTTTCCATCTGATGGCGCATCCTTCCTGCCTCCAATGCTGTGCTGTGACTTGGCTGGAAGGACCCTAAGCCTTTGTCCTTCCTGCCATGGGGGAGGGGAGGAGGGGAGCCGCTGCCTGTGGGCCAGGTAACTCTGGCACAGAGACATTAGGTGATTTGCCCAGGTCACACAGCCCACGAGCACCTGCACACCAGGAAGCTGGTGCTCAGGGCCAAAGTGACCAGCGGGCAGGGACAGCCCCCAGACTGTAGCTGGCTTCTGCCCTCCTCCCTCTTTGAAGGGGGCTTGGGCCAGGCCACAGGTGACCGGCGTCCGGGCAGGCACCATCACCAACCCACTCTCGCACCTGCCTCCCCTGCCGCAGCCCCTCTGGCTGGCACAGGACCCCCAGCCTGGTCGGACCTACTCTGGATAGCAAAGCCCAGATGGACAAGGGTCCAGAGTCCACACCCCACGCGGGGGCCTTGGGGCCTGGAGCCTGCCCAAGCTGCCTTCTTACCACCCGAGAAGCGGGTAAATCACGGCACCCCTGGGCCCTGGGGAGGCTGCCTCGGATGGCAACCCTGCCGTCCACTGTGCCGTCCACCCGCAACCCCATGCTGGGCCTCTGCTGGCCGGTGGCTCCCATGCCACAGGGACCCTTTCTGTGGCTCCTGTGTGTGACAGGTGACAGCCCCAGCGAGGGCCCCCGGCCCTTGTCCGTAGAGAGGCTTGGAGGCCCTGTCTGGTGGTCGAGCAGGGGCAGGAGCTCAGCCCCAGACCCCAGTCTCCTGAGAACAGGTTCCAGAGCCTTCCACAGGGGGAGGCATTGCTCCTGGGCACCTGGCCTCCTCCACCTCGGTGCTGAACGGCACTGACCCCAGCACAGAGCCCCGCAGCCTCCCTGCCGAGCCCCTCAGACCTGGGAAGTTGCTGCATCGATTTCTTCACCCCCCAGCCTTCCGTTGAAAAGGGAAAGAAAGCCCTTCTTTCTCAACCTGACTGCCATCTCTCGCAGGAAGCCCCCAGCCGAGCTCGCAGTGGCCCATCTTCCCACCATGGCCGCCTGGGCAGGGCCTGGGGCCGGGGCAGGAGCGAGAAGTGCCCAGAGACCACCCCCAGTGAGGGAGGTCCACGAGGGGGCCACTGACCCACTGTCTGCATTTAGAGATTTCTTTGTTCTGGGGGTACACTGGTTTGCCCTCAGCCATGGTGCACATCTGATATTTGGTGACGGCACCACGGCACACCCCTCATCAACCAGACCTTCCCGTGGACGGTCTCGTGCATTTTCACCACCTCCCTGTGGGGTCGGGGCCACTGTCACCCCCGTGTACAGATGAGGACATGGAGGCTCAGAGAGGTGAAGCAGCTTCCCCAAGACTGCACAGCCTTTGGGAGGCAGAGCTGGTACTCAGACTCTGGACGCGTCGCAGTGGGTTAAGGCTGGGACTGACCAGCACCCTGTTTGTGCCAGTGGATGTGTGTCCTCAAAACAATGGGCTACTCATTCCTCAGATGGAGTTAAGGGCAAGAACCAGCTCACTGAGTTCTGGTGTCGCGTGAGGGGCGGGGCTCAGGGGAGGCTCTGGGTGGGCAGGGGACCCCAGCACCCCAGGCCCTGGGCACAGCCCTCCTACTGTGAGCTCAGGACCCCGCCCACTCAAGGGCCCTGTGACGCTGGTGGGGCAGCAGCCCCCCGAGGAATGCACCCGGGGGACACAGGGAGGGCCTGTGGCAGGGAAGCACCCTGGTTCCCTCCTCGGGCCCCCCCACCTCCCTGGGCACACCTAGGACGCTCCTGAAACAGGAACAGGCCGAGCAGCCCCCACCCCCGCCACACCAGGAACTCCCCCAAGGGCAGCTCATCAGGTCTCGGGCCGGGGGAGGGGCAGGACTCTCCACAGGGCTCGCCCCGACGGGCTTCAGTGTCCCCGCTGGGCTTCAGTGCGCAGAGGCAGGGCCCGCGCCCCAGGCGGGGCATGAGTCCCACGTGCCTTAGTTTTTCAGAAAAGCAAGCTGAGGGACATTTACCAAAAACCCTCACTACCAGCTGCTCTTTGTCAGGAAGCAGCTGTCCACAGCGCTTCTGGGACGTGAGCTGCACACCTGGTGGTAATTCCAGGGCAGGCTAAATCCTCTTTGACCTGCAGACACAGGCACCTCTGGCTGCAGCTCTCACTGCTCTGGCCTTGTCCCCGAGGTTCTGACTGTGCCCCCAAGCTCTGGCAGCAACCTGCTCAACCACGGACCCGGTCTGATCGGCAGTGTCTCTGGGAAGCGCCCACACACCAGTGGAGGATCAGTGCCTACCCGGGGAGGGCGAGCAGAGCCCGGCACATCGACGTCCGACGTCCGTGGGGCCAGAGTCAGCTGTGAAGGAGGCGGTGTGGGGCGGGACAGGACAGGAGCTGGGGGAGGAACCACCGTGATTTACATGGAAAGTTACACTTTTCAGCAGGAAACAGCAGAATGTTTCCTTGAGCTTTGCTTCCCATCCTGATCACCAGGGAGACGAGAGACTCCTTGACCCCCTCGAGTCGGGACTGGGGACTGGGGGTGATCTCACTGGGGCCAGGTGCAGCCCAGGGGCCTGCGGAGCCCCAGGTGTGCTGGTTCCTGCAGCAAGACCAAGCTGTTCCAGGGCCGGCGAGAAGCATCTGCCAAAGGCTGGTCCCATGCTGTCGCCCTGGGGCCAGCTCCACCTGCTTGATGTTTGAGACTCTAAATGTCCCTGCCCCAGGGAGAGTCTACCAGCCCTGGGAAAGCTGGGCCTCCGCCCTGCACACTGTTCCCGGGTAGGGGGCAACATACCCGCTTCAGCGCCGCTGTCACCCTCATCTCCCCAAGTCCCAGCCCCCATCTCTTGCGGTCTGAGTCATTTTTTTCAAGACCAGCCTT